GGTCAACGACCCTTTCACAGGGGACGCCTGATTCCTAACAGTAGCAAAATTACAGTTATGAAGTAGTAACAAAAATCAATTTATGGTTGGGGGTCACCACCAAATGAGGAACTATATTAACCTTACAAATCTGGCTGGACTGGAGCATGTACACTGGTACAGATAAGAGCTCTAGACACATGGAATCCAGGACAGATAAACCCCTCAGGAACAGTAATGGGAGTAGGGATACCATGAGGGTAGGCAGAGGGTGGGGAGAGAAGGGGGAGAAACAGGGAACCAACTACAATGATGCACAACCCCTGCCCCGGGGGCAAACAATATCATGGATGAAGGGAGACAGCGGGCTGTGTGAGATATGAAAATAATAATAGTTTATAATGTATCAGGGGTCCATGAGGGTGGGAGGAAGCGGGAGGGAGGGGTAAAAAGAGGAACTGATACCAAGGGCTCAAACAGACAGAAATTTTTTGAAAATGATGAAGGCAACATATGTACAAATGTGCTTGATACAATTGGTGTATGGATTGTCATAAGAGCTCTAAGAGCCCCCCAATAAAATGATTTAATGATAATAATAATAGGAAAATGCTCAGCCAAGAATCAGGGCAGTAAAGGAGCATGTATTGCCCCATAAGGAGCCCTGGTGGCGTTGTGAGTTATGTGTGGGGCTGCTAACCACAAGGTCCACGGTTCTAAACCGCCAGCAGCTCCTCAGGAGAAAGACGAGGCTTTCTACTCCCATAGAGAGTGACCTTCTCAGAAACCTGCAGGGCCTTCCTGTTCTACCTGGGTCTTATGGGGCCACTATCAGTCGGTATGGACTCGAAGGCACCGAGCTTGGTTCTGATCTTGGTATGTTGTGGCAGAGCAACCAGTTTTCTTGCCGATTCTGTCCTGAGCAGGTGGCTTAGTAGTTACAAATTACTGTTGCCTGCAAGGTCAGCAGTTTGAAACCATCAGCTGCCCCGGGACTTCCTCCCGGCTGATGAGCCCTGTCACCCCCGTGGTGATGCACCTTCGAGACCAGGTGGGGAATTTTTTTTTTTTGCCAAGCAACATTTGGATATTTTTCAGATTCTCAGGCCATACTAGGCAAACATTTCATCGGATCACCCTTAAATCGAGGGCTTGTCAGGGGCCCTGGTGGTGCAGTGGGCTACAAGTTGGGCTGCTAACCTTGAGGTTAGCGGTTCGAAACCACCAGCTGCTCCATGGAGGAAAGATGAGACTTTCTACTAGTCTCTGAA